CTCCCATTGGATAGGTCGCAAAACTGACCTGACCTTAGGTCACCGATATCAATATTCCGAGATAAACATTTCGTACATACTGTTACTCTTATCAATCGCTGAAAGTGTCAAGGCGATCGTTCAGTCGGTGTAGCTATGACGAGGATTGAAACTTTTTCTGAGGTGAGGTCACTTGACGTGACCTGGTGACCTGACCTTGAGAGCCCTGGGTCTGAATTTTTTACAACATGTGTGGAAAAGATGCATGAAGAGGTGTGCCAAAAACCACAAGGGGGATGTTCAAAAAACCCCCGTCCCGGCGCGGGATATGGTCGTGTAGAGAAAAAAAACGGTGTTACAAAACTGCTATCTCGGATATTCAAAATTTTAAGATTTTGGCCCCCAAAAATAAAAAGATACTATTTTTTTATAGAATAGCAAAAAATAAAATCCCAAAGTTTTTTTCGAATTTCAAAAAAAAGAAATATACATGATAGTCTCGACTCTCTTCTATCTACATACCAAATTTTAGATCGATACCTCTTTTTTGGCCAAGTTATAGCGAAAAAAAAACTTCCAAATTGATGACGTTAAATTTTCGAACTCAATTTTTAGCAATTCTAGACCACGCAGCGCAAAGCAAAGACCACCATTAGACTCCCCGTGACGAGCTGCATCGAATCGATACCCATTTTATGCAAAAATATCAAGTTTGAAATTCGGCCTTATTTGACCTGACCTTGGCCTGACCTTCACCACCAGAACATCACCTTAACTGGCACCAAAGGCTGCCTGACCCACATAATTGCATTTGTCATGTAAAATGGATCATAAAACATGCATCACATGATATTTTCATATTTTGACCCTCTGTGACCTGACCTCTGTGACCTGACCTGGTATCAGTGAAGTGAGAAGTCAAGTAGTAAAATATGTGTTTAAGGGACAATTCCCCACCGATGATTTTCAATGACATGCATTTTGCTCGATTTTACAACGCATTTCTTGAAATACCTGTAAACGATGAAAATTCGACCTTTGATCTGATATGTGACGTCATCGGTTAGACCGAGGTCAATGAAATTGGTGCACAAGGTAGTTACCCGTTGGAGCCATCCAACGCCGTTTGCTGCTTGTCGCTATGTTGCGTGGTTCTCGAGATCTTAGGGGGGGGGGCCAAGATGCCCCCCCCCCATCATGGCGGGTTGCTCGGCAGACCCCATGAGCCGAGGGCGCGGGTTAAACTTATCAAAAAGTGTAACAACTAACGAAAACAATCCGCTGTGCTCATCGGCAAAGGGACGTTAAAGTCGGTACCTACCTACGTTTATTGTCGCCCAACTCAATGGAATGCAATGGAACTGTTGATATATGCATGAATCACGTAAGTAACTACTGGAAATGAAAACACAATCAACCAGCCAGTGAGACACACCCACCTCCCTGTTGTCGGTTCGGCTCCTCTGCGGCGCTCCGCTCAGCAGGCTGTCAGATGCGGCGGGGGGCCACTCGGAGGCTGCAGGGCGGAGCGTGTGCGGCGTGCCAGGCTCGGACTGAGCAGTCACGCTGCGGCCAGTGGAGGCGCCACAATCTGTGCCGATTGCACGCTGCCGGACCGGACGGACCACGGCCGTATCGCACCAACAGGGGGCCGCCAGAGCTGAGACCGGCGGACAGCGAACGGGGCCCCAACGTGTGGCGGCTCTGTCTCTTAACCCGCGCCTTCCGCGACTTCCGCGCCGGGCCGGGGGGGGGGATGTCTGAACCCCCTAACTCGGCTCCTTGGCCACGTAGCGACACACGGTAAGCGGCATTCGAAAGAGCGTCAAAAATAATGACGGAAACACTTCAGTCTTTTTTTGGGTCAGGTCAAAGGCCAGGTCGCCAGAGGTCATCAAAGGTCAAATGTAGGCCATTTAAACAATTTTGGAAACTGCCAACGGCTAACTCGGGAACCAATAGAGCTACAGCGCCGCGAAAAAGCGCATTTGATAGCCCTTTTACAGACCTTTCCGAGTATTGTTCTCAGATTTGACCTCAGGTCAACGGTTTAGCTTAGCCTCCAGCAGAGAGCAAAAACTGTAAAAATAGCCGTTTTCACCAAAAGCAGTTTTTCGGTAATAACTTTTGATTCAAGCAAGCCAGGACATTACTTTTGCCAGCATTGTATTCCTCTCGTCGAGACGCGTCGAATAACCTATTCGTTGACCTTGAAAGGTCATTTTGAAAATTTGACATCAGGTCTAGGTGATGACCTGAACGGAAAGGGTCATGTTGCATATCAGTCAATCCGTATCGTCGAGCTGAATATATCTGACGTGTTTTCATCGCTCTAGCACGTCTCTATCAAAAATTGTAGCCAAAAAAACTGCTGGTAACCGTTCATGACCTGAGATGACCTCAGGGGCACACAGAGGGGTCACAGGTGCATTTTTTCCGATTCAGTGTGTCATGTTTACCCATGATCCGATGTTTGAGAGGGTTCTGAGCACCATTCGTCCACAAGAGGCGCATTTCAATTTTCTTCCATTGACTTATAGGTAATAGAGAGGTCGCAAAATTGACCTGACCCTAGGTCACCGAATATCAAAATTCCCAGATATACATTTTGTACATACTGTTACTCTTATCAATCGCTGAAAGTTTCGAGGCGATCGTTCAGCCGTTGTAGCTCTGACGAGGATTGAAACTTTTTCTGAGGTGAGGTCACTTGACGTGACCTGGTGACCTGACCTTGAAAGCCCTGAACCTGAAATTTTCACAACATGTGCGGAAAAGAAAAGATGCATGAACAGGTTTCCGCGCCGCCGTTTTTGAAATATCTGCGAAAAACCGCATGGGGGGTGTTCAAATTGGGGAAAATCAGCTCGCTTACTTTTAAACTAAAACACGTCGGAATTTCCTAATATACCATGAGGGACTTCATATACGATCAACTTTGACTACCTTGAGACCTTTTTTGCTCTTGGGCAACTGTAAGGTCATGTGACGTCATCAAAGGTCACCAAAGGTTTTTTGCTAATAACTCCTTACAGGTTCGAGACACAGATGCGCGGATGGACTCATTGTGCTAAGCTCGTGAAGGCGCATCGAATAATATATATACGATGACCTTAGGTCACGTGACCTAAGGTCAACTTTTGACCTTGACCTTTCGATGTCAACATACATATGTTTCGCTGCGGATCAACGAGAGGATCACGATGGTGCTATTAGTTTGTTCCTAGCTGGGATATTGTTGAAAGTTATTCGAGAAAAACTTCATATATATGTAGTGCCGCTATTTTGACTTCCTTTTTGCCCCTGTGACGTCATCTTTGACCTAACCTGAAAATGACCGCAGTAAAATTTTTAGACCTTATCCGTGTGTACCCTGTACCGTTTACCGCTTGTCGCTATCTTGCTTTGTTCTCGAGATCTTGCTATCGCCCCCGCTCGTAATGATGGACAGGTCATAAAAATGACCTGACCTGAGGTCAACGCAGGGCGATAGCCACTTTTTTATTATCGCATATGAATGACAATTGATAAGGCTTTAATCGTCCTCAGACAAAATTGCAACTTTCAGTGGGGAAAATATCAAGGCCACTCTTCGAAAAATAGGTCGAAATTTCACGTGATCAAAAGTTCACAAATTGAAAATCCGAAATAGCCAAAATTTTTGTTGGTTAATTGTGAGTTGAACCATACAAAGTTTTTATCATAAAAAACCAATAGTTTCTGAGTTATAAGCCATCAAAGAAAGGGTTGCAGCGTGACCTCCAGGAATTGCCCGAGGCTATATCTCGGAAACCGTTGTTCGAAGAAAAAAATCCTTGCCACAGCTGACTTCCCCGCCCATCACAACCCCTTACACATGTTTTCGACGAAGAATGAAATATGTGGGTGCAAATTTAATTTCTTTTTTTGTCGATCCGTCGTGGAACGCCCCAAATGGGTTAGGTATTTTCCCAAACTGCAAAAAGAAGCGTCTTTCCAATCCGATGGGATAAAACAGCGATAAGTATTGATGAGAAACCATTCTCTAGAGCAGGAACCAGAGCTAACAAATCTTTGGCATACAGTCCGGTTGCGGAAGAGGGGGCTGACAAGTGTCTAACACCAGTATAACGCCTTTTGGGGCGACTAACGGAGCGAGCGAGGGGGTGAGTCTTGCACGTGCGAAATTTCGAGGGGGTACCTCCAACTGACTTGTGCACGGCACCCTACTGGCCGGTTTCTAGCGATGTGCCAAATTTGAGCACAATCGGCCCAGCCATTCTCGAGATCTGGGAGCGGCACCCTGCACGTGCGCACGTGCAAAATTGGTCCCAACTGACTTGTGCACGGCACCCTACTAACTGGTCCCTAACCGTGTACCAAATTTGAGCGCAATCGGTCGAGCCGTTCTCGAGATCTGGAAACGACCCCTGCACGTGCGCACGTGCAGCAGCACCCCAACTCTGGCACATGGATATGCAGTGCCTAGTGGGTGCCTACCTACATGCCAACTTTCAGCGCAATCGGCCAAGTAGTTACCGAGATATTGCAACAATTACAAAACTGACACCTCTTCGTTTTGCACGTGGCACGTGCATAAGGGGTCACCCACATGCATCGGGAATAGTCCAATACTTGGTAGAAGGAATGAAGCTACCCTACAAAAATTACCGCGTGTAAATCGGTCAAGTGGTTGCTGAGATATAAGCCTCGCAAAAGCGTGACCACGGCCGGCCGGCCGGCCGGCCGCTCATACTCAGAAATTTCCGTTAATCTAAGGAAAGACTACGCTCGCTTCGCTCGCTCCGTAATTATGTAACTTCAACGTGCAGCTCGGCTTTGCACGGAAATCCGGTTCGTCTCACTGAAATTACCTCCACATTCTGCAGCCTTTGTTACGAGGGCCGGTATACCAGGGTTCTCTCCCGCGTGGCTCTTTGAGAGCTATCAGCAGCTCAGCAAGTCTTCCTATCGCCTCGGCCGCCTCGGCCCGACATGACTCGGAAGCGCACCCCGATACCGCGCCTGCTCGCTGGCGGCAAAGTGCACAGTGCGGCGGGCGCCCCGCAGAGGCGCGCAAGTGTGCGCGATAGCAGTTGCATTTCGCTTTGTGTCGCGCCCGCAGTGGTCGACGGACCAGCATCCTGTCGGGCTAGATCATGGCCCACCCAGCCAGCGAGGTAAGAAATAATGTTCCGTTTATATGCTTTTAATTAAGTAGGTACTGTGTTAAAAACGGTCGCCTTCCTTGCATTTGGATGATGAGCAATCGCGGAACGAGTCTAAGCAGCCGCCAATATGTGTTGAAAAGCAGAGAGAGTCGGACCGCAAGAAAACTTGGACACGCCCAATATATGACGGACTGATAAGAAAAAGGGGCTGTTTCACATATTTCCTGACGCTGACGCACACCACAACCAGGCGGGTATGTACGAGTATACTTTCTGTATGGCGTGTGCTACCGAGATGTTGAGCAAAAGTTTGTGCGTTGTTCCGTAAAGCGGTCTGCTGTTTATTTACCGATGTGCTCTATAAGCGCTTTTGCCTTCGGATGCTGTTGAGTTTCTCTTAAACCCGCACACCGACGGGGGAGGGGTGGTTGACCGCCCTCCCCCCCCTGAGGTTTTTCGTGAATAGTGCAAAAACCGCGGCGCTATGCGCCGCGAAATTTGGCATGAGTTTTCCCTCATCAATTTTACATATGGTGTGCAGTTTGAACCTCCTACCTTTCAAGGTCAGGTCACCAGGTCACTTCGAATGACCCAACCTCAAATCACTTTTTTTTGCAACTTTGTCACCGTGTCAGAGCTACAGTAGATGACGGAGACCTTTGAAAGTCGAAGGATGTAACGAGGTCATCAGTAGCTACAATTTGTTTATCTCGGAATTTTGATATCGATGAGTTAAGGTCAGGTTAATTTCTTGACCGTCGGTGCGCGGGTTAATACCAGAAAGAAGGTATTTTTATGTATCATATCATGATTTCGTTTTTAGAGACAAACATGGCGATAATGTCTCACTTCACCTGGGCGTGTCCCAATTTACGGTGTGTCATTTTACCTAAAATGTGAATCAAATAACAGAATAGTAAGATTTACTTCAGCTGGCTACTCAAAACACATGCTCATGTTCCCTTCACGTTTTCACACCTTTTTTTCTGCAGCTGAAAACAGCCCGTCCAGATGCAAATAATGCAAGATCACTAGTGAACAAGTATATGTATAGAAACGGTCAGCCCCTTCCTATATTCGAGACGCGGCCATACAATGGGTGAGTTTTATTCATAGGGGTGACAAACGAGCGAGCGCGAGAGTGAGTGAGCCCTGTGCGTGCGGAAATGCAAATGCGATACTTCCCACCCACTTGTGCACGGCACCCTTCCAACGGGCCTCTGTACAGCGACGTGTCAAATGTGAGCGCAGTCGGCCCCTAGGCGTTCTCGAGATGTGGAAGCAGCAATCTGCACACTGTGCACAGTGCACGTGCGCGCGTGCGAACTGGATTCGAACTGAATATGTCACGGCACCCTAACCCCCAGCTACAAACCCTGTACCAAATTGATGCGCAGCTTTGAGGCCCAGCCGTTTTTGATATTCGAGATCTGGGAGCGATTGCTCGTGAGCACCGCGCACGTGCAATGCAATGCATTGTGACACATGGAAATGCATTGCTCGGTGGGTGCCTACCTAGTACCAGCATGCCAACTTTCAGCTCGATCGACACAGAAATTACCAAACTTGTCTATTGTAATTGTTACAAATTGACACATTTTCATTCACGTGGGACGTGCAGTGGGGGTCAACCAATGGCTGCAGCGTTTCATTTTACAGACACTGGTGTTGGTTTAATTGTTTATACTGAAACGCTGACGCAACGTACTTGTTTCCAGGAACATCGCTTCACGTGTGAAAATTTCTCTTCCATCAGTCGATGTGGAATTTGAATGCAGGGCTGCAGGAGCAACTGACAAAGTAAGCTGGGTTGTGTTATACCTAAATGGAACTCGTGTCTTGAGTTTCTTTAGTCGAAACTATCAAACTGGTGGGTGCATAAAGGAGGCAATGAACTCTGTGGAGACTTCCTCACAAAGTCCCCCAGTCGCCAAATATAAGTAATGGTCGGACTTTCCTCTTCTTAACCCGCGCATGACTGGGGGGGGGGGCTTTATAAAGGCAGAATGATGGAAGGAGCTCTTATAAGAGCCCTCCTGTTTTCTGCAATATCTTCCAAACCGCTGGACTTAGCGACACGAATCAAAATACAACCAGCTGCATCAATTTG